CCCTGTGCCTCACCTGTCGGGCTGGGGGTAGTCCTCTGTCTCACCTGTCGGTTGGGGAGGCGGTAGTGGGGGGAGCCCTGTGTCTCACCTGTCATGGGGAGGGTGATGCCCAGTTTCTCACCTGTTGTGGGCTGGAGGGGTTTGCCCAGTGTCTTGCCTGTCGTGGGGTGGGGGAGGAGGGGTTGCCCAGTGTCTCAACTATTGGAGATGCTGTTTTTCACTGGAGAGTCTGTTTTTCACCTGTGTCTTTGTTAAAGACCTTTTCTGCCCCAGGGTATCAATGTGACTGTATTTTTCCCTGTTCTGGGTTAGAAAGTGGGTGTGCCTTGTTCTGATCTATAGTTATCCTTCAGCCAACTGTGTGAAAATAAATTTTCATTGTCACATTGCTCTTTGTGAGATTTTGCTGTGCACATGTTGCCTACCATTGTTCTGTCACACGTTACAATCTCAGGTGCTGCTCATACCAGACACATCAGGTCCCAGAGTGCTACCTGGCCTAACAGGCCCTAACTGTGTTTCTGCTGACTCTGGAGATCAATCACTGAACACATTTACAACTGCACTGTTAACACATGAATGAAGTAAAAGCATGAACTGTGTTACACTGGACAAGAAGGTTGAAAAGATTTCATCACAAACACCAGAAAATGATCCAGACTCTCACTATCTCTTTTATTCCCAACAAAATCTTTACAAAATGAAAACTCTAAGAAAGAGTGACCATATCTCCATACCAAGGCTGTTTGCTCAGGCCAGCACAGTTGCATCCAGTTTCCTTTCAGTGAATTTCTGCCCGTTCACAAAATGCTTTTACTCAGTTGGTATCTCTTTCCCCTAGAGACCCAAAACAAACTTAAAAGTAAACTCAACGTTACTTTAACTTTGGAGCAAACTTGAGTTCCCTCAACTCAGTTCCCACCGGTTTTGTGGGATTTCTCCCTAGAGTGTTTCACAGTGCTGCCTCCACAATCTGGCACATGCATTCAGGCTGTATATATGCATTTCCACTGACTGACTCCTGTCTGGGTGTCTCTGTGTCTCTCTGAATCCTTGTTGCTGGGCAACAGCATTTTTCTGAACACAATGAATTGTTAAACCCCATCTCTCCACTTCTCAGGTCATTAAAAATTTTCTAAAAATGTAAAAATTATTAAAAAACTGAAAAACGCATGCAAGGCCTCCAAACATCCCGACACCAACCTTACGAGAACTATAACAAATGAGAATGAAACCAGGTCACCCCCTTCTTAACTCAAATTTCAATTATTTTAAAGTTATGCATTATTCCTGACACTATTTCAAACAATGACTACATTTTGCCTGTAAAGATACCTGGGATGTGCTACAGCAATGCACATTTTCAGTTCTGTTCTGGGTAGCGAATGTGTTCTAAGTGCGACTGAGATCAGGCTGTCTGTTTCTGAATCATAGAGATGGCAGATGGTGAGAGGATGAGAATGAAAAGCAAGAGGATCCTGGTGACCGGAGGCTCGGGACTGGTTGGCAAAGCCATTGAGCAGCTGGTGAAAGAGGGGGAGGGCCAAGCAGACGAGGAGTGGATCTTTCTATCTTCAAAGGATGCTGATTTAACGTGAGTCTGTGTCATGGGGGAGTGGGGCTGATGATATCAGTCTCTACTCATTCATTTTCTTCTCTTCTTTGTTCCCCTGCCACCAGTTCTCTCCTTTACCTTTCACCATTTCAACTTTTCTCCCTGTTGGAGGATAGTTCATGCTTAGGCAGCTTTCTAAATTAAAGGATGTGAACATTAGGGACCCCTCTCCCATCCAGAAGGACAAGGGCAGCAGATGCATGGGAACACCAACACCTTCAAGTTCCCCTGCAAGCCATTCACCATCCTGACTTGGAAATAAGTCACCTTCAGTGTTACTGGGACAAAATCCCTCCTTAACTACACTAAATGGCTTGCAGTGGTTCAAGAAGGCAGCTCACCACCACCTTCTCTAGGGCAGCTAGGGACAGGCAATAAATGCTGGCCCAGCCAGCGACATCCATGTCACATAAAGCACAGAAAATCCAGGGATAGTGAGATTCATTCTAGAAATGTAAAGTCTTTTGTCTTTCCCTCAGAAATGCTGCGGAAACCAGTGCGCTGTTTGATAAATACCAGCCCACACATGTCATTCACCTGGCAGCTATGGTGGGCGGACTGTTCCGGAACATGAAATACAACCTGGATTTCTGGGTGAGTGATGGTGTGTTAAACAGCTTTGACCTAGCACTGTGTCTGACCACATGTAGTCAGGAGTGTCAGGGTAATACTAGCTGTTAGGGAGGATGTGAAGGTTTCAGAGAAGGTGGAGAATGTATAAATCAGAATTCCAGCTCCCAGCAGTAAGGCACTAGTTACCTGGGAAGACTGAAAAGCCTGAGGCCATTCCTGTTGGGCCTCGAGAAGGCTAAGGAGAGATTTGAAAGAGGTGTTTAAAATTAGGAGGGGTTTTGATAGAAACCATTTCACTCTATGGACACTAACCAGGTAAGAAGTCGCCAATCAGGTCGACCAGTTTTAGTGTTGATGGCAAAAGAAGCAGATGCAATATGATTTTTTATTTTAAGCATTGACTGGTGTTCAGGACCAGTTTTGTCCATAAACAGACTTTTGACTGGTTTTTCAACCAGCACCAGTAGTGTGTGTGTTCAGGAGTATTCGGCATAGTAACAACTCCTTGATTGGCTCCTGGGTGAGTGGCTGCAATACAATGGAAACATTTCTCCTATAAAGGAGAAAACAGCTCCCTCTCTCTCTCCAAGATCTCCTTCTGAAAAGGAAAAAGCACCTTCTGAGACACTGAAATTGCTGGGAGTTGAGAAACGGTTGGATCAGGATACAGTCAGAGGGAGAGGTGGGGGTTCAGACAGTCAGATCACAAAGTTGCTGACTGTCTCCTGCAGTTGATTTTTCTGTTTTGTTTTGCCCAGAGGAACAATGTTCACATTAATGACAATGTGCTACACTCTGCTCACCTGCACGGAGTTACAAAGGTCGTCTCCTGTCTCTCGACCTGCATCTTCCCAGACAAGACCAGCTATCCTATTGATGAAACAATGGTGAGATTCCTTCTCCCCCACGCTCCTCCGCCCTCCAACTCCACCCTCCGATGTCCCCCACTTTACACACCCACTATATCGAATATCATGCCTGGGATAAAAGGCTTAAATATAAAGATCAGTTGAAAGTGTGAAAAATAAAGGCTCATGACAGCGATCCATCCAGACAAGAGCAGTAGAGACTCCAGGAAAGTGGTGAAAAGGGTAGACCAGGAACCTTTTCCAGTTCTGTACTCGTGTAAAAACAAACAGAGCAGTTAGCTGTTCGGCCCATCAAACCTGCTCTGCTATTCAATAAGATATGGATGATCTCCTCAACTCCAACCTGCATGATTTCTGCATCTCTCTCATTCCCTTAGTAACAGGAAACCTAACCTTCTCATTCTTAAATTTACTTAGCAGCCAAGCATCCACATCTGTCAGAGTTGGGAACTCCAGAAGTTCTCGGCCCTTAGATGAAGAAATTTCTCCTCCTTCTCATCTGAAATGGCTGACCCTTTATCATAAGTCTATGATAGCCAAGTTCCAGCTGTATCCACCCAGGGGAAGCCCCCTCTGGTTGTCTGTCCTGTCAGGAACTTGAATGGGAATCTCAGATAATGTTACACAGTATCTCCTCCTGGGGCAATCCTCACATCAAGGGGACAGTTGGCTTTCCTGAGTTGGAGATTTACACACTCAGACAGTCCCATATACTGGGCAGCACTGATGTGGGCCACTGGAGTTTCAGTGAGGGACCTGGAGGTGATGGCTCTCCCCACCCCATACAGGGGCAGATGTTTTCCCTAACAGGATGTGCCTTCTCTCCAAAAAAGGCCTTCAGTCCATCTGACCAGCTGTAGTGATGTATGAATTTCAGTTCTGCTGTGATGCCAAAACTGGAGATCAGACGTCCCAGCAAGTGGCTAATTGAATCAGACAGCATGTTCCTTCGTTGTTTGTAATTGGCCGAGTGGAGACTGTAGTGAACCAGCCAAAACAAAACATCTCCAGTTAGATCCTTGATTGGGCATCCCAAGTGCACTTGTAGTTATGGTAATGACCAATTTAAGATGATCTATCAAGCTGTGACCTTGGTGCATTGAATGTTTATTTGACGTGAATACCTTCATACGCAGGGACCAGTTCTCTCCAAACAAAAGGAATACTTTTAAGCCTGGTTCTTTTCTTTAATTATCCAGGAGTTTGAAAAATTTCCTATCCCCATTGCTTGCTCCCTGGCAGTGCCTTAGCCAATAGAAGTTTTTCTGACCAACTAATCCGAACCCTTTTCTCCAGTGGTGTAACTTGTTGAGATTACTTAAAAGGTGGTATTCTTGCTGTTGTCCTGATAGTCAGAGAGTCTTTGCAGCACAGAAACAGGCCGTTCAGGCCATCATCAAACATCCATCTATTCTAGTCCCATTTCCCATCACTTGGCCCATAGCCTTGTACGCCGTGGTGTTTCAAGTGCTCATTGAAATAATTCTTAAATGTCTTGAGGGCTCCTACCTCTACCAACCTTTTAGACGTTTCTTTGCTGAGTGCAAAATGTTACTATTAGACAAAATGTCCCTCATCAACAAAGTTCAAGTCCTGTTAAACTAAGTGTTTGCTTAACAGAATTGTTGAAAATCATGAAGGATTTTGATAGAGTCACTAAGGAGAGGTTGTTTCAGTGACCAGAGGGGATATAATTACAGACATTGGTATGATAGACAGTGAGGAGCTGGGAAGAGGTTTTGCAAGATGATGATTTGGAATGGTCTGCCTCAAAAGGAGGTGAAAGGGGATGTCAATAATAACTTTTCCAAAAGGAATTGGATAAATCTTTGCAGGGTTCTAGAGAAAGAGCAGTTTTGGCAGGTGCAGAGTGTTGTGTTACCTGGATAGCCACTTCAAAGGCCTGTCTCAGACTCGATGGACTGAAGGGCCTACTTCTGGGTCACAGAGTGAGATTCTGTAATTCCATCCTGGCCAATTTCAAAGCTGCATTTGGACACCAGCTGGTGGCCAGTCACTGTTCCAGCTACCGGTAATACAGTCTAAAGCTAGCTGACATCCAGTTACAGAGAGAATCCTGCTGACATTACCATCTGGGATTTGGAACTGAACGGACGGTATAAATTAATAATGTAATAAAACACCCTTTCTCCCTTGTAGATCCACAATGGGCCCCCGCACTGTTCAAACTTTGGATATTCATATGCAAAGCGAATGATTGATGTGCAGAACCGGTAAGCATCCTAAATGGAGTCTTGTCCGCCAGTTCCCACATTTTTCTTTCTCTCATCTGTCTGCCTACTGGAGCAGATTCTGTTGCCCCAGCAGGACTGGGGTTGCCCTATCTCCGGTGTAGTTAGCTGTTGACTCTGCTCCTTCTCTGTCGCAGTGCCTACTCTGAGCAACATGGGCGTATGTTCACTTCCGTGATCCCCACCAACGTTTTCGGAAAGTACGACAATTTTAATATCGAGGACGGTCACGTTCTGCCCGGACTGATTCACAAGACGTACCTGGCGCAGAGTTGAGTCTCTGATTGTTTGTTGGTTTTCTTTTGTTCGTTGAATGACCAAGTTAGATTTTAACACATTCCTCTGTAAGGCCAGTTTCCTGTGATCTCCCGAAACCATTTTTAATCAGACTTGGAATGCTACAAGTGACAACAACCCACGTGGATATAATAGACATACAGCACGGAAACAGATCTTTTGGTCCAAACAGTCCATGCCGACGATAATCCCAAACTAAACTAGTCCCACCTGTCTGCATTTGGCCCATATCCCTCCAAAACTTTCTTATTCATGTACCCACCCAAATGTTTTAAACACTGTAACTGTACCTGCATCCACCATTTCCTCTGGAAGTTCATTCCACACGAATGACTCTCTGTGTAAAAATAGTTGCCTCTCGTCTTTTTTAAATATCTCTATAATACAAGAAATAAGGTGCATATGTAGACAGGGACCTAAACTCTGGAGGCAATAGGACCCTGTCCAGGCATTGCCCACTTTTGGAATGAACAATGCCTTCATGAGGGGCAACAGTTAGCTGGTGTACTCTCTATGGCAATGCCTCGGCCACTCAGAGTTGACTTGCCAACTAATCAACAGCCTCTGATATTTGGCATTCTTGCGTCTGTCCTGACTAGCAAACAGGAAAAGCTTTCAACACTATGTTACTTTCAGCCACGATTTTAGAAGTTTAGGGAGGGGCTGAAGCAGCGGAAGGCACGGCTTCCAATCTCGGAAGGACATGAGAGGCTGTGGAGCAATTAAAATCAGAGATTATCAAGAAAGAAGGATCAAGAGTCGGCCATTCAGCCTGTTAAGCCTGCTCTGCCATCGAATAAGATCATGGCTGATCTGGTTCTGGCTTTGACTCCATTTTTCTGCTTGACTCTCTAAACCTAGATTTCTTTGTCGATTGAAAATCTGTCTCACTCAGTATCGGTTTGTATTCAGTGATCCAGTTTCCATCACTCTCTGTGGTTAAAAAAAAATCCAAATTCACGAGCCTCTGAGAGGAGAAATTCCTCCTCGCCTTCACCTGTCTCAGATAGGTGACCCCTTTTTAAACAGTGACACCTTTGTTGTGCCATGGTTGGGAGTGGGAATCCTCCTCTGAACATCCATTGTCCAGGTCCCTGAGGATCTCCTGATCACACCCCATTCCTCTAAATTCTGATGGGTATTTTTTTTCAATTCATTCATGGGATTAATGCATTGCTGGTTAAGCCAGCATTTATGGCCCATCTCTAATTGCCCAGAGGGCAGGTAAGAGGCCAACCACATGTAGGCCAGACCAGGGAAGGCTGGCAGTTTCCTTTCCTAAAGGCCATTAGTGAACCAGGTGGGTTTTTTTTTCCCTTGACAATCGACAATGGATTCATGGTCATCATTGGACTCTTAATTCCAGATTTTTATTGAATTTAAATTCCACAATCTACAATGGGGGGATTCAAACTCAGGTCCCCAGAACATTACCTGGATTGCTGGATTAATAGTCCAGCAATAATACCACTAGGCCATCACCTCCCCCTGGCACCCTATTCAACCTTCCCCCATAAATCCCTCCCCGCCCCCACCATCACCATCCCAGAAATGAGCTGGCTGGCTCTCCTCCGAGTGGCTTCCAATAAAAGTGAGTTCCCCTTTGAGTAAAGAAACCAAGCTTGTGCAATATAACCGAGTTCAGTCTTCTTGAGGAGAGCGAGGGTTTCTGAGTGTTATGGGGCTGGACCAGGTTATGGAGTGAGCAGGGGTGCGTGTGAAAAGTGAGTCCGTTCCCTGTTTGTTTGATCAGAAGGCACTGCAGTCCTGCTGAGCGAGGTTAGAGCGAAATTACTGACCTCTTGTCGGTTCCTTCCTGCAGGAAATGGCACAGCACTGGAAGTCTGGGGATCAGGCAAACCCAAGAGGCAGTTTATATACTCTCTGGTAGGTTACCGGGCCAAACGGTCCATTTCCGTCATGCACAGCTGACCCTCTGAACAAATCCAACAGAAGGGACCCTTGGAGAGAGCTGGAGCCTGGCTAGTTGTTAGCTGGGCCTTTCGTGTCCAATTCCAGCCCGGCTACTGACTGGGTACCTTCGGGTAGTAGCTGGGCTGGATCCTCCGTCTACCTCCTTGGCCCCTCCCTGAACACAAGAGCTAGGAGCAGGAGCAGGCCATTCAGCCCCTCGAGCCTACTTTGCCACTTATTACGATCATGGCTGATCTCGCCTCAGCCTCAACTCCACTTTCCTGTCCACCCTCCGTAACCCTTCAACCCATTACTAATTAAAAATCTGTCTATCTCCTTCTTAAGTTTACTCAATGTCCAAACATCCAGGACACTCTGGGCTAGTGAATTCCACAGAGAAATAAAAATTCCTCACCGAGCCCCTTGAGTGATTGAAACCGGATCTGTAGATCACAGGGATCTTCTGTATCTCTGTCCCCATCCATGACTGGTGCAGCAGGAAGGGATTACCACAAAAGAAACACTCAGCCAACTGTGTGCTGAGTTGTGTGGAGACGCCTGTCTGAGGGGAGGAAATCAATTACAAGATGGAGTGGGGTTGAAGCAGTCTGTATCTCCTCACTGGGATTGATGGGTCCCTCTGAGAGTCTGCATTGACGCTGGGTCTGCCTGGTCTTCTCTCCTAACCAGGAAGCACGGGGTTCCCGAACCTCACCATCCCATCACCACTGTGTCCTGAGTATGTGGCATGTACGTAAACAGCGAACTGCATTAAAATAGGGTGAGGTATTTGAACTTCATGAATGGACTTGATAACAAAATTTGCATTTTCCAGGATTTGGCCCGTCTCTTCCTTTGGGTTTTGAGAGAGTATGATGAGATTGAGCCCATCATTCTGTCAGGTATGAATGATTTGTTTGTGTGATTGCGCTTCTGTCAACTACTTGTCAGGGGTGCCATTCAAATGCAGATTTCTATCTGGAAAAGTTTGGAGAAGTTGGGCCTATATCCATTGCAGTTTAGATAGATGAGAGCTTTACTCTGTAACTCCGCGCAGTCCCTGTTCTGGGAGTGTTTGATGGGACAGTGTGGAGAAAGCTTTATGCTTCATCTAACCCCATGTTGTCCCTGTCCTCATTGTGTTTGATGGGAACAGTGTAGAGGGAGCTATGCTTTATACCTAGCCCCATGCTGTCCTAGGTTTAACGGGGCAATGTAGAGATTGAGGAAATTTTATTCTGTGTAACTCTGTACTGTTACTGTACTGGGAGTGTTTGGCGACACTATAAGAGGGAATTTTACTCAGTATCTAACACCATGCCATCCCTGCCCTGGAAGTGTTTGGGGACAGTACAGAGAGAGCTTTACTCTGTCTAATCCTGAGCTGTCCCTGTCCTCGAAGTCTTTGATACGGGACAGTATAGAGGAAGCTTTACTCAGTATCTAACCCCGTGCTGTATCTGTCCTGGGAGTGTTTGATGGGGATAGTGCAAAGGGAATTTTACTCTGTATGTGACCCTATGCTGTCCCTGTCCTGGGAGTGTTAATGGGGCAATATAGAGTAAGGTTTACTTTCAGTTTGAAAGAGTAGAGAGAGCTTTACTCAATTTAACCAATGCAGTTTCTGAATTTTGCTGAAACTGGAAGGGGAAAGCTGTGTGCTCCTGATTCTGAGATGGTAGGAACTGCAGATGCTGGAGAATCTGAGATAACAAGGTGTAGAGCTGGATGAACACAGCAGGCCAAGCTGCATCAGAGGAGCAGGAAGGCTGACGTTTCGGGCCTCGACCCGTCTTCTGAAATTCGGGGAGGGGAAGGGGGTTCTGAAATAAATAGGGAGAGAGGGGGAGGAGGATAGAAGGGACCACTCTCTCCGTGACTCCCTTGTCTGCTCCACACTCCCCTCCAGCCCCACCACACCCGGCACTTTTCCCTGCAACCGCAGGAAGTGCTACACCTGCCCCTACACCTCCCCCCTCACCCCCATCCCAGGCCCCAAGAAGACTTTCCACATCAAGCAGATGTTCACCAGCAAATCTGCTAATGTGGTATACCGTATCCGCTGTTCCTGTTGTGGCCTCCTCTACATCGGGGAAACCAAGCGGAGGCTTGGGGACCGCTTTGCGGAACACCTACGCTCGGTTTGCACTAAACAACTGCACCTCCCAGTCGCGAACCATTTCAACTCCCCCCTCCCACTCCTTGGACGACATGTCCATCCTGGGCCTCCTGCAGTGCCACAACGATGCCACCCGAAGGTTGCAGGAACAACACCTCATATTTTGCTTGGGAACCTTGCAGCCCAATGGTATTAATGTGGACTTCACAAGCTTCAAAATCTCCCCTCCCCCGACTGCATCCCAAAACCAGCCCAGCTTGTCCCCACATCCCTAACCTGTCCTTCCTCCCACCTATCCCCTCCTCCCACCTCAAACCCCACCCCCATCTCCTACCTACTAGCCTCATCCCACCCCCTTGACCTGTCCGTCCTCCCTGAACTGACCTATCCCCTCCCTAACTCCCCACCTACACTCACCTTTACTGGCTCCATCCCTGCCTCTTTGACCTGTCTGTCTCCTCTCCACCCATCTTCTCCTTTATCCATCTTCTATCCGCCTTCCCCTTTCTCCTATTTATTTCAGAACCCCCTTCCCCTTCCCCATTTCTGAAGAAGGGGTCTAGGCCCAAAACGTCAGCTTTCCTGCTCCTCTGATGCTGCTTGGCCTGCTGTGTTCATCCAGCTCTACACCTTGTTTGCTCCTGATTCTGGTGAGGGGCCTAGGGGCCTGTTGTCCTCCTACAGGGGGAGTTTGTGAAGAGGTTGGTTTTGGGTGAGAAGCAGGTATTTGGATAGTGGTTAATTCAGGTTTTTCTGAGCTGTGTTGCTGTGTTTCCATCTGCAGTGGGTGAGGAAGATGAAGTGTCCATAAAAGAGGCAGCGGAGAGCATTGTGGCAGCTATGGACTTCAAGGGGGAAGTCATTGTATCCTTCATGTACAACGGCCTGTATTACACCCACTGGGAGCATCCCAGGTCCAGGACCATCCTCACTGGATCAATGTGACCAATACGACAACCCAGCCAGCCTCGAGCTCCTGATAGTGATCCCTCGTGTGTGTGTGTGTGTGTATGGTATGTGTCAGAGTTTGCCCAGCTCCACATTCTCACTATTAACCAATTGACACATTAACTCTTGTTGTGCCACAGTTTCACTCCACCAGTTGAAAAGTAAAGACTTCATTTGTTGATTGGATGGACTTTGTGTGTCGGTCAAATAGCCTGTTCTGCCCCAACACTAATGCCAATATTTTTATAATTGGACAGAAAACAACTTTTGCTTCAAAATTTTGTTTGTTTGTACAGACATTATTGTTGGCAATTACTCGTTCTGGAGTATTTTTATAGTCTCACAGCAAGGAAACAGACCCTTCGGTCCAACTGACCAGGATTCCCAAACTGTATTAGTCCCATTTGCCAGCATTTGGCCCATATCCCTCTAAACCCTTCCTATTCAGGTACCCATCCAGATGTCTTTTAAATGTTATAATTGTACACACCTTCACCACCACCTCTGGCAGCTTATTCCATACATGCACTACCCTCTGCATGAAAAAGTTGCCCCTCATCTGCAGACTTTCTAACCATACCTCCTATATTCACACCCAAATCATTTATATAAATGACAAAAAGCAGTGTACCCTGCATCAATCTTTGCAGCATACCACTGGTCACAGGCCTCCAGTTCGAAAAACAACCTTCCACTGCTACCTCTGTCTCCTACCTTCAAACCAAATTTGTCTCCATGCTAGCTCTCCCTGGATTCCATGTGATCTAACCATGCTATCCAGTTTACCATGCAGAGCCTTGTTGAAGTCCATATAGACAATGTCAATCAAACGATTCCAGACCAAAAGTTAAAACTGCAAAAGGGTTAGTTGAAGCTGAGAAAGTTTAAGCTCAGTTGCATGAAGGCTCCAGGAAGAGACTGTCAGATTCTTGAGAACCAGACATTTAAACCTCAGGGAACTGAAGCCTTAAAAATGTGAATGGGAAGGGATTTCTCTCTGGTGTAAGTACTTTAAAGGTGTGTTTTGGGGATTATTGGGATTGTGTATTGTTGGGCATTCCAAAATCTTTAAACTGTGTAAATAGTTTGTTTTAATTTGTCTTATCTTCATGGGTTTTGTGCTATAAATTGCTGAACATGGAACTGCAGCTTTGTGTCTTTACGTTTCAGTGAAAGGCCACCTGTTTCAAACTATAAAACAACAAAATTTGATTTGTCCACCTAGGGAATTCTCTCTCACTGGTCCTGTGTTTTGTGGATCTTTGAGTGGACGATGAGCCCGATCCTGGAGCCACATCTCCGGCCACACATCTGACAGGTTTCCAGGAGGTGGGATTTGATCTTGGCCTGTTTGCTGACATTCCTTTCTCCAGTTCCTTTTCTGTACTTCCTCTTGCCACTGAGTATTCTCAAAGAATTCCATCCAGGAGTTTTCTCCAAGTTGGTTTCTTCTGAATGAGGGTTGATCTCTGTTGTATTTCTTGAGGGAGGCCTTCAGGGAGTCATTCAAACGCTCCCTTTGTCCTCCTCTCACTTGAGTGTCTTCCTTGAGCTGGGTGAACACTGTATTCAACTTGTTCACCATACACAAAACAAATGTCTACCTTCATATGTGATTCTGCAGTTGGGCAGCACTTGCCGAACAATCCTCTCTAATAGATCCACAAACAAGCTATGTAAAAAAATAATTTGAGCTGGTAATCTGCCTCATAACAGGGACCCGTTCTGTGCAAATAAACAGAGTCTTGTGCCTTTTTTGAATAGCTCTGAGACCTTGGGAAGCTAATAGTTCCCCATTGGTTTCTCCATAATAATACCTCAGTCAGTCGAGTCAACTTGTGAATTAATCAGTGTCCTTTTTGCCCCATAGTTTCATTATGCTCACTTGATACTCCAGTGTTTGTCCGATTAAGTCCCAGATTGAAACGCATCAGCAACAGTGCTCTCTTCAGCTATGTTGAAGTTCTGTACCACTCGAGACAATTTTTATTACATTTAATGGTCTCTGTGGCTTTGCTCCTGGATGTCCTAAGAATATTCAGGGCTGAGATAGACATTTTTAATCAATAATGGAATCAAGTTGTAGGGAAAAGGTAGGAAAGTGGAGTTGAGGATTATCAGATCAGTCACGATTTTATTGAATGGTGGCACAGAATCAATTGGCCAGCTTCTGCTCCTTCTAAACGTAGAACAGTACAGCACAGGAACTGACCCTTCGGCCAACATCTCTGTGCTAACCATGATGCCATTCTAAACTAATCCCATCTGCCTGTATATGACCTGTATCTCTCTACTTCCTACCTGTCCATGTGTCTATCTAAATGCCTCTTAAACGTTGCTATCATATCCGATTCTACCACCTCCCCGGCAGCACGTTTCAGGCATCTTACCATCCTCTGGGTAAAACAACTTGCCTTGCATATTTCCTTTAAACTTTTCCCCCTCTTACTTTAAATCTATGCCCCCTAGTATTTGACATTTCCACGCTGGGAAAAAGACTCTGACTATCCATCCTATCCATGCCTCTCAATTTTATACACTTCTATCAGATCGTCCCTCAGCCTCCAAATGCTTTAGCAAAAACAACCCAAGTTTGTCCAACCTCTCCTTCTAGCTAATACACTCCAATCCAGGTGACATCCTGCTCAACCTCTTTTGCAGCCTCTCCAAAGCCTTCCTACAGTGTGGCAACCAGAGGCTGCATACAATACTCCAAAATATAGCCTAACTGAAGTTTTTATACAGCTGCAACATTACTTGCCAACTTGGAGTTTAAAAGTCCTGACCAATCCGTTCTGCTCCTATATTTTATGGGTATTGTTCAGCACAGTTGCCTGAGAGGTTAACCCTCAATTCCTGTGGGGTTGATAATAATGAGTGGAATCCTACATGAGCCTCACCTGTCACATCCTTTCTATAGTGTAACAATTTGCTGCATTCATGCTGTAGGATTACAGGCAAGGTATTCACGGGGGCGTTGAGCTCAGTGATCTGTACTGCAGAGGGGACCGTTAATCCATGCTTAGGTAGCATGACAACCTTCAGGCAGCCAAGGACATCCCGTGTGCCTTCTCTCTTTTCCTTAATTACGAATATCAAGTTTGACACCAGCAAATCTGATGGGCAGTACAAGAAGACAGCAAGTAACTGCAAGTTGAGGAAATACCTGCCAGACTTCAAATTTACCCCCTTCAGCCAAGGTGAGTCTCAATGTCTTCAGCACGTTTATCTTCCCTTCAGTTTGCTACTACAAACTCAGAAGTTACAGTAAAGCACAGTGTTTACCACCAGCACTCTCTATATTTTCTACATTTTGGTTTATCAATTTGTGGAATGTGAATCTTGCTGGCTATCCATTACCTGTCCCTAATTGCCACCATGAACTACTGTAGTCTCTGGGATTTAAGTTGACTCATAGGAGTTTGAGGATATTGACCAGCAACATTGGAGGAAAGGTGATATATTTCCAGGGCAGGATGGTGAGTAGCTTGGAGGTTGTGTTCCAATGTTTCTGCTGCCTTCGTCCTTCTACAGGTTGGAGGTCATGGGTTTAAAATGTGCTGTCGAAGGAGCCTGGATGAGTTGCTGCAGTGCATTTTGTAGTTCGCACTGCTACATTTATGGTAGTCTATTTGGTATTGACCAAGTGAGATCACCCTCCTGACTAGTGCCTTGTAGATAGTGGACAGGTGTTGGCAAGTCAGGAGGTGAGTTATTTTCAGCAGAATTCATGCTGTTATAAATAGTGGCTATATGATTGGCCCATTTTAGTTTCTGGCCAGTGGTGACCCCTGTAATGGATATTGATGCTGTGGGATTCAGCAATGGTCATACTGATGTGTTCCTGGCTGGTTGGGGGTGTTGGCAGAGAATGTTTTTAATTGGCTTTGGCTCCATTGTCATGAAAGGAAAAACTGGGTCAGTGTACTGCCATCGTTACATGTGGCTCCAGACCCATAGCAATGTGCTTGATTGTTATCACCTATCCTTCATTCCCCTTTAGCAGGCTGTGGTGAGCTGTCACTTTAAACAACTGAGTAGTTTGAGTCTAGTTGAGGGAACTTGCAGAGTGAAGCGTATCAATGTGGGTCTGGAGTCACATGTAGGCCCAGATCAGGTAAGGATGGGATATTTCCTTCCCTAAAGGACATTAGTGAACCAGATGAGTTTTTCTGCTAATCTGGTAGTTTCATAGTCAACATTGCAGAGACGAGCTTTCAATTCCAGAAGCTGCTGTAGTAGGATTCAAGCCTGTGGTTCCCCATTACTGCTGGATCAGTTAATTAATCCAGTCACGTCAGCCACAATTTCCCCTCTCGTTTTGGATTGTGCACGTTTTCTTTTCCTGATGTCATTTTACCAGTTGATATAGATTACTGTAAAAAGCACAAAAAAATAAGTGACAACAAGGTGCAGGGCTGGATGAACACAGCAGGCCAAGCAGCATCGTAGGAGCAGAGAGGCTGACGTTTCGGGCCTAGACCCTTCATTTTCTTGGCCTGCTGTGTTCATCCAGCCCTGCACCTTGTTGTCTCGGATTCTCCAGCATCTGCAGTTCCTACTATCTCTAAAAAAAATAAGTGAAATGCTTTTTAAAACTAAAAGGATAAGTTTTCATTTGTTTCAGCTGTCAAGGAGACCTGCGATTGGTTTGTGGCCAATTATGAGCTGGCAAGAAAATGAGGTGGTGATCGAACTTCAGACTGTTGGACTGCTGCCATGGTCAGACATGCACGCGATAATTATGGGGTTGGGATCAAAGTAGATATCTGTACAATACAGTGTAGCAACGGGTCTAAGTCAGAGGGAGGAGCTGAACCCACATTGTGATTCTCATTGTCTGGACCTTTCCCCTCACCCCGAGTGCAGCCTCTTGGCCAGCTCACTGCCTGATTCTATTACTCTGTGATGCTAACAAGGGAGCTCCTATGCCAGCGGCTGCAGTCATCTTCCTATCTTTGAGGAAAGTTGGCCGAGGGTTGGATGTTATCAGTCTCACCAAATCAAAAACAATTCTGTTCCATTTCCGATCCTGTCCGAGGCTGTGGCAGTGAAGATAGTTCCCTTGCTTGCAGCAAGCTGCTGCTTCCCTGTGAAAGGCAGGGAATGATGGTGGATGTGTAAGTAGTGTTGTAATTCACTTCTTGTTACCTGTTCCAAATTGTCCTTGACTTCAGTGACTTTGGATATGGAGTCATGCGTAGACCAGGTAAGGATAGCAGATTTCCTTCGTGAGAGAACATTGGTGCAATAGCCTTATAACAATACTTAGCGGTGTGGCCACCGTTGCTGGAAGTAGCTTTCAAAATGATTCAGCAGTGAATTTGAATTCCACCTGATTTCTCCAGAACACTAACTTGGACTTACGGACTACTAGTCTGGTGAGACATTCCCACTCCTCCAGTGGACAATTTTCTTCTTTCTCTTCCCGCCCTGCTGACGAGAGGCAAAACAGCACTATCATAAAAAATGGTCCTTGAAGACAAGAATTTATGTAGACGGACTATAGATATTGCCGCAAATTATTTTGGAAGCTCCTGGTCATGGTGACTGATTTTGTTTACATTAGCTACAATAAAAGAGTAGAATTACACTACCTGTGGTTACATAATCTTAATCTTAAACAGCATTTTACATTTACAACTGTGTGTCGGCAATGGAGTCTGTCAACAATATGCTGGAGTTTAAACAGCCTGTGTGCAGTCACAGCAGAAAATTGGTCTGAGGTATCTGCTCATATTCTGTAGCAGTGTGACAAGGGGGTTCTGAGAAACAGGGACTTATGTGTTTCCCATGTTATGTGCATGAACTCCCATGGAGTTATGGCCACAATTTTTTAAAAGGTAACCTCAGGCACAAAACTATGATTTCCCCCTCAACCATTCCCCATGGCTCATGGTAAAACCTGCTGTCTTATTCCAACATTTTAATAGAAAGTGGGAGTTGAATTGTGCATCGAACTAGGTGCTGAGCCAGATGACACTTCACCAGTTTCCCCGGGGTAATAACAGGGTACCATGCAAATTAGGAGTAAGAGTAGGCCACTTGACCCCTCAACCCCAATCTGATTACTCCACATTATTACTTACCCAATATTAAACTTTCACACCATTTATGTACCACTAGAATCATAGAATTCCTACAAAGCACAAAGAGGCCCTTTGGCACATCAAGTTAGCACCAACCATCTGAAGAGCATCCCCATAACTTCACATTTAATCCACCTGACCTGCACATTTTTGGACTGTGGGAGGAAACCCACACAGACACTCGTCTAAGGCTGGAATCAAACCCAAGTCTCTGGTGCTGTGAGGCAGCAGCGCTAAGCACTGAGCTGCCCAACTTTAATATTCAGACTCTCTGAAGAAGGGTCTAGGCCCGAAACGTCAGCCTTCCTACTCCTCTGATGCTGCTTGGCCTGCTGTGTTCATCCAGCTCTACACCTTGTTATCTCTACTTCCATCTCCTTTTTGAAGAGTTCCAAAGACACAAAAGAAATCTCAGGATGGAAAGGAGTAGTGCAGCCTCAACTTGGAGCAGCAGTGCAAGTCCAAAAGCAACAAGAGTAAGATCCAGATTTTTAAACTTCTGGTTAGACGATGGGAAAATGCCTTTGTGAATAATTCAGAACTGTTTGAAATCAACCAGCCCCAGCAAGAGGAGCAAAAAAAAAAAAAAAAACCCTCTGATAACAAAAACAAAAATTGCAGGAGAAATTCAGCAGGTCTGGCAGCAAAATGAAGAGAAAGCAGATTTAATATTTTGGGTCTAGTGACTCTTCTTCAGAACCTCAAGTTCTGATCAAGAAGTTGGCATGGGTCTGATAAGATGAATGATCTCCACTGTTAGATCATTCTAATGACTCCACCTGTGTACATTTTGGACCTTTCCTCCTTTGCAAAACTGCTCTGCAGATTGATAGGAATAAAAGAGTGTCACGAGAAGAACACCTTACCTGTCAAAATATTGGGAGCAGTGCAGTAGTCAATCCTTGGCAAATGGTGGGGGTAAGGAAATTGTTTTAAAGAAAATAAAAACCTGTAAACATATGGGCTGAGGTAAAGGGTGGCAGTTTATGTTCATCCTGAATTGACTAGGATAATTTATTGTTCCAAATCTACAGCTGGGGAGAGTGAAAGTATAGCTGTGAGATAGCGAATCAGCCATTAATCACAGTTGAATGGTCTACCAAGCTTGATGTGCCGAATAGCTTACTCCTCCTAGTTTCAATCTTTTAGGAGCACCCAGGGCAGACGGAAATTTGGTTTAGCATCCTATCTTAAACAATAGTAGTTCTGCAATCCTTCAGTATTACACTGAAATAAAAGGACCAGCATATCCTTCAGTTAGAGGGGAGGTAATTTTAAAATAAAAATAGATTCAGTTTTAGAAATCCATTTATTTAAGTGTTAAAAATTTACAATTAAAATTATAAATACATTATTACATCTGACACCAACGAGTGATTAATAGAAATATGACCTTAAGAATGCTTAGTGTTTTAATCACAAAAAGTATTAATATTTTTGATAAACAATTCAAAGTGTTCAGTGTAACTAAATGTAGATTAATCAGCAGACCCAAGAATGTAGCTAATCCTGATTTTGAACAACTTCAACTTAATTTTAAATAGTGGAGAAATCAATTAAGCTAAACAGTTCCATCATTTGGAATGCCAAAAAGGGACCTTGCATGATCAAACAATACATTAAGCTTCAAAGAATTTGATATTTACCTCGATGGATTCCTTTAGTAGAAAGGTAAACAAAACCTCAAGCCCAACTTGTTCAAATACAAAACTTTACCGTAATCAAACAGGTTCAAAAACCTAGTCTAGTAAGAGTATTTAACTGGTTCATTAACATCTGATCACAGTCTTTTTATTTCGACTGCAGTCACTTCAGACGGTTATGCCTCAGAAAAGCAACTAGGGAAACCAGAAAACAAAAGACCAATAGGAATTCCAATATCAATTATCTGTTCATGCAAAATAAAGTACAGATTTAACACAAGAAAATACTGCATTCCTAGAGCACCACAACCATTACAAAAACGTTCAAGATTTTACCTGTCAACTAATTGAACAGCCTTAAGATAAGACTTGCACACAATTTCAATTCATTCCATCAGGAATGTGGGCAGCCAGTACACCCAAGCAATCAGATACAGTGAGAACCAGACAGACTAGAAAAAGGAATCTGAAAAGGTTGCTCGAGGAAAGCAGGAGTGGATATTGCTATAGTTTGGTTTGAAGCAAGTGAATACAGAAACATCTCAAGTTATCTTTAAGACTAAAGGTTCATAAAGGAACCTTGTCAGTCCTTAAAAGCCAGTTCTCATTAAACCTCATCCAAGGGCTAGTTCAGCAACTCTATGTGCAATCAGATCATAATGTTAGTCACTGATGAGGCAAAGGATAGTTTTCCAGCCCCAAGGGTCAAATGTGACAATAATGAAGTCAGAACAAGATTGTGCATCATGAGTCAGAATGCCAGGATGTCCAAGTCTTATAGTCCACGTATCTAATACCCAATGACCTTCTATACTCAGGTGACCATGCTGTTTAAATAAAGCACTCTTTAGTAAGATGTATTACAAGTGTACATAATCTACTTAGTCAATGCCTGGATTCTACTAAAGGTTAATGCAGCGTCGACTCACTTTTGTCAGAGTAATGAGGAAGACCAAAAACTGAAGGATAAGGTTGTATACTAAAGGATAAGGTTGTAGATTTGCTTGCCAAGCGGTGTATTTGATTGCAGACATTGTCACTTAGCAGGATGACATCGCTGGTGTGCTTCCAGTGAAGCGTTGGGTTCTATCCCGCATGCTATTTATGCTTTGGTTTGCTGAGGTGGTTGACATTCCGGTTCTGTTTTTCAGTGGTTTGTATAATCGGGTCCAGTTCAATGTATTTGTTGATGGAGTTCCGGTTGGAATGCCAGGCCTCCAGGAATTCCCTGGCACGTCTGTTCGGTTTGTGCTATCAAGGATGTATTGTCCCAGTCAAATTCGTGCCTTTTTTTGTCTGTGTGTATTGAGACTAGTGAGCATTAGTCATGTCTTGGTGGCTAGTTGGTGTTCATGTATCCTTTTTGTCAGTTTTCTTCCTGTTTGGCCTATGTAATGTTTCTCACAGTCCTTACATGGTATTTTAATATATTATGTTAGTTTTCTTGGTTGTGGATATGGGATCCTTTACCTTCATCAGTAGCTGTCACAGGGTGGTTGTTGGTTTACTACCCTGAAACCCCTAGGTATCAGTAGTCTTGTGGTAATCTGTGTGTCTGATGTATAGTAGGGTGACTAGTGTGTCTAGCCATGCTGTGTCTTCTTGTTGTGGTCTGTCGCAGAGGTAACAGTGGATTGTGCTTTTTGGGCATCCAAACAACAGGCACACTTATATGGAGTTTTTAAAAGGAATGGATACCCAAAAAGCACAATCCGCCGTTGTCTCCGCAACAGACCACAACAAGACGACACAACACAGCCAGATACACTAGACATCCTACTGTACATCAGAGACATTTCAGAGATGACCACAAGACTACTCAGAACCCTAGGTATCAGGGTAGCCCACAAACCAACAATCACCCTACGACAGCTACTGATGAACATAAAGGATCCCATTCCCACAACCAATAAAACTAACGTAATACACAAAATACCATGCAAGGACTGTGAGAAACATAACATAGGCCAAACTGGAAGAAAATGGACAATAAAAGGATTACACTAACACCAACTAGCCACCAAGACACACGACCAATTCTCACTAGTCTCAATACACAAACAAAAAAGGGCACGAATTTGACTGGGACAATACATCCATAATAGCACAAGCCAAACAGAGACATTCCTGGAGACCTGGCATTCCAACCAGAACTCCATCAACAAACACATTGAACTGGACCCGTTATACAAACCACTGAAAAACAGAACCAGAAGTGATGCCAACCACCTCAGCAACAGACGTATAAATTGCAAGCAGGACAGAACACCAATGATTCACAGGAGGTGCACTGACAATGTTACCTAACAGGGTGACAAAACGTCTGCAATCAAACACACCGCTCGGCGAGCTAGTCTACAACCTCATCCACAACCAGAGCTAGAAATCTTCTCAAAATCTTTATATACTAAAGGGGTATTTCCAGGCCAACCACACCGTCAGTTTGTCAAACCTCTACCCATCCACCTCAGAATTCTCTATGGATATCTGCAATGACATGGCAATACAAAATTAAAACATACGAAGGATATTTGTGTCCTGAGCAATGCTGCAGACACAGAACACACGCCTGAGCAGTGAGCAACAGACAGCAAGGTAATTCTGTAAGTGAACAAACGAACGAACTAAGAACGGGCAAGCCCTAACTGAACACAGAATTGGTACAAGCAGCGCACACAAGTTGATTTTAGCAGCAGAGTCACAGCTAGTGTTTTGTGAACCAACACTGCACGTACTAGGAAGACAGGCTCAATCGATCTTAAAGCACAAGCGTGCAAATTAATAAAAGTCTCCTGAGACTACACTGTAGTTTTCCTAATCTCTGACCTCTTTCAAAAGGGACAGGACAAAATGGAGTACAA